GTTCTGAAATCTAACATTAAATTTAACTCTCAAAGCCTTATGGGGAAACTTTGCACGTGCGCTTTTTCTGAAACTGGAATTCTTTCAACACAATGAAAGATGCATAAATGAATGGGATGAAAAACAGATTTCTCAACAGAAGTATAAAGGCTGTGTTGTCAGATCATGAGCTATTATATTTTAGGATATTATAACCCAGCAGTTCTGAGTTTCTGGCATTGTGTCCTTGCAGGAGGTTAGCAAAAATATTTGACAGATCAAAAGGGAACGATTCTGAGCTGTATCTGTTCATTTAATAGTCAGATGGAAGATCATTTCTCTTTCCAGGAAGAGCTTTTAGCAAGTGCATATATAAATCAATAGGGGAAAACATACAAAGGGGTGTGGAGGGAAATCTTCAAAGGATCATACAAAAGAATGGCAGCTAAATATGATTTAACAGATTTTGCAATAACTTTTTTCTTGTCTTTTAAATTAATCTTAGCCTGATTAGTACATATATGGACGTCTCTTTTTCTGTTTGCAGCATTTTCTACTCAAAAATCATAATCTTGTATCAAATACAAGTTAAACATTTTATGCCATGAAACTGGAACTGTGGGTCACAAACAGCACGACTGACTTAAAATAACTCTGCTGCATATAATGCAATTTTGATGTAGAAGCACTGAAGGAAACAGGATCATCTAAAAATGGGGAACAGGGTGGGAAATGAAACAGCAAACAGAATGAAGGTAACTAAAAGGCATATATAACTTGGCTGTGCAATTATGAGCCACATGGAGCTCTTGAAATATGTCAGACTCCACAAGATAAAATGCTGTGACCCTCCTTAACTAAAAGGCATATATAACTTGTGGAGAAACTTACACCACAGAAAAGCATTGGCCAGGTATGGATATCAGGTATGCCAATACCAGAGCCGGGTGATGGTAATGCAGTTAATTAGCATTTATATAGTGATGTGGACATTTAAATTGCTTCACACACACATTGTCTCAGCAGTCTTTGTAACAACACTGTGAGGCAGGGTGGAGTCCATATTAGTCCTCCGTGTTCTTAAAAACAACAACATGAAAATGTCCACAGTTCACCAGCATTTTTTAAATTTACGCAAAGAGTGCATTCTCAATTAAGAAGAATTACCTTCCTTGGCCAGACCGAGGTTTACCTCCTGCAGCTTTCCTCACAAGAATCCCATCAGCCAGGAGGTGCCAGTGTTCCAGAATGCAGCCAATTGTCTACCAGTGGACTATAGTCTATCTTATGCCTTTCCGTACTATAAGAAAAACAAATAAATGGGATCACAGTGTGAATTACATACTAAATACAAATAGCAATCACTGTGATATAGAGACTGCTGGACTTTATTTGGTAAAACTACGTACATATTTCACAATTATCACTAACATGGAAAAAAAACAATAACAAGTGGTAAAATAACCTTATATCACCATTTTCAAAAGGGCTCACCCTTGTGTTATTATAAAACAAGAGGAGTAACTAGTTGTAAACTCGTTTCATGTTACAACTTCAGAAGTTTTCATTCTTCATTCATTATCTCCCTCTTGTTGTTCTGTGGTAATCTTCCTATTGTCACAATATAACTTTTATATAAGAAGCAAGCCAATCCCTTTTGATAAGCAAGCACAAAACATTCTGTTCTATTGCTGGCAAAACACTCTCCAAAGGTACAAGCAAGAAGAAAAAGAGATTGGATTTATACCCACCCCCACAACAGACACCCTATGAGGTAGGTGGGGCTGAGAGAGCTCTCTGGAGAACTGCCCTTGAGATAACAGCTCTGAAAGAACTTATGATTGATCCAAGGTCACACCAGCAGGTGTATGTGGAGGAGTGGGGAATCAAACCCGGTTCTCCCAGATTAGAGTCCACACTCTTAACCACTATACCAAATTGGCTACACCAACTGAGCATTCATGAAGGAACTACCTTAAAAATACAGATGCACTAATACAATATACTAATAAAGGTTGTCATTGAAGTGATATTGTGAATATGATCATGAATAAACTGGAACTTTTTTTTCATTCTCAGAGTTGTTAAACCTCACTGTTAAAGGGAACATATATTACCGAGACTCACCTATTGTTGCAATTCAATTTTTTGTTGCAAGTCCCTTTTCTTAAGTGGGTACCAAACCTTCTGTTCCCTGGCTGGCTTAACACTCTCAAAAGGTACAAGCACTGAGTCTCCATGAAGGACAATACTTTTCTAATTTTTATAAAGAGCATACCAGTCATCTTTCTCCAGTAAGAGCAAAACCTTTTGTTTTATGGCTGGCAAAGCATGCTCTAAGAATACTAACAACTAATCCTTCTTAAGAGAATCTGTTCCCCCTAATTCCATGCAGCTGGTTGTAAACTCTCACTTCCTTAAAGGTACAGATACTGATTTTAACAATGATCGAGGTTGCCCATTCACTTACGTACTGTATTGTATTATTTAATACATTTTAAATACATTTTTAATAAATCTGTGATAATACATTATAACACTGTCTCAAAAGCAACCTGTCAAATTGCATATAATCCTGAACTAGTAATAATAATCTGGAGAAACCAGCATGCATGTACAGATTCATTTTGTCTTTTTTTCTTTTGTACTATCTAAATTAGAATCAACCCAATGGTCATTATAGGAGCTGCGGTGGCTCAAGTGGTTAAGACGCTGAACTGCAGGCTTTGGAAGGTAGTTCAGCATGACTGAGTGAGCTCTCGTCTCTAGTTCCAGCTCCTGCCAACCTAGCAGTTCGAAAGCAAGAAATTGCAAGTAGTTAAATAGGTACCACTTCGGTGGGAAGGTAACAGCGTTCCGTGCGCCTTGGTGTTTAGTCATGCCGGCCACATGACCACGGAAACGTCTTCGGATAGCACTGGCTCTTCAGATTTGAAACGGAGATGAGCACCGCAACCCTAGAGTCGGATTCGACTGGCTTTCGAGCAAGGGAACCTTTACCTTTTTAATGGTCATTATGCATCATGAGCACATTACAAATCTCATTCTTTCTCACAACATTATATAAGGACTCATTTTATAAGCACAATATTTTATGGTGCCATATTCCCTAATTCGAGCAGAAAAACAAATGAGATCACAGTGTGAATTCTTAGGCCCTATGCTAGCATTCACAGCCCATGTTTTCTTCATAAACGTCCATGGAAAGCACTCATTCAGTAGCATGTAAAGGTGCTCATGCCATTAATGTCCTCAGAGTCAGGACTATTCTTAACCAAGATGAACAAAAAAGGTTACTCTGTATCTCATGTTAAATGCTAAATTCCTAAAACTGAAGTTTCATCTGGTTTAAAAGAGGCTGTGTGCACCTTCGTCTAAATATACATACATGGAATACTTCTGTGTCTTTGGAACTTAGCTATGTATACTCGAATGGCAGGAGCATGTGTGTATGTGGATTCTTTTTCAGGTTTGCAGAACCAAGGCCAATCTATATATATATATGAAGGACCAGTCCTTATGTTCGATATTGGCTTTGTACCACATGCCTAGAGCGATCTGTGTTTTTGTGGGATGGTATGGAGTGCATTACGTGAATCAGCCAACCACAGATATGTCCTGGTGCTAGGTGGGATCCGGCACGAGGATTGTGCAAGGACTGCTGATCTTCCTGGTTTTCCCCAGCAGCCTTTTCTGTCCTTGGGAAAGTTTATTCCCAGGATTGTGTCTGGCCCAATTGGAGTAATAACCTTGTGGTTCAAGAGGCTGCAGTGGGAAGGGGGAACAGAAGAGACAGGAGGGAACGATATCACCCAATTTCCCCTCCCCTCTGCCACTTCCTGACTCGCATGGCTGTGAATAAACTTCCCCAGAATTTGAATTGACTACTGGGGGAAGGGGAAAGGTGGAAAGATTGACATAATTGCCTTTTGTTGACAGGCTGCGGGGACAAACCTTCCAATTTCTACAATATGGTTGTACTTAAAAAAACAACAACCCAATGTGGTTATGGAGGTTGCTGTAGCTGTATTCATGGATGTGTTCATTATTACATTCTTCGTGAAGGGATCCATGGCCATTGATGACTTCAGATGCATAATATCGAGCTGATTTTTGAGCATGTGAATTGTTCCCAAGAGAACAGATCAGTGAGAATCAATTGCCAAGGCAACTTCTGGTCTGTGAAGTATACCCACACTTTTTTTGTTGGCTTCTCTTTTCCCTCAGAGGGAGCAAATATTCCTTTTGGAATACTCCACTGGAAGCTGTGTCAAAACAGGCTTCTAGGAAAACACTGTTTTTAACACTGTATTAAGTTCAGCAGTTACAAGTTACTATTATCATCTTGGTGATTGAAAATTTGGGATTACTATATTATGGATAAAATTTCTGATGTACTTGCCAATGCTAATCATTACCATATGAACTCTAATCTTCATCTGAAATGGTTTCCCTTTCTTGAGTTTATGTTTAATGTTGAGTCTTCTAAATTCATTGTTCCAGAAAAGTATTATGAACTATTTCACCGCATGTGAACCTTTTAGCATTTTATAGATGCTTCATCATAACTGTATCTAGTTCCAGTGTTGTTCAGTGTTTTGAATGGTTTGTTGTTGTTTAAAATAAAAACAGTGAATTAAAAAAAAAAGTTCAGCAGTTGGATCTTTGAAGGAAACACAAAACAGCATGTGCAGGATGGAAGGAGAAATAGTAGATTGCAACAAAAGACTGAGTAGAGCGTCAGGTGCAGTATTGTAGCCAAGCTATATTTATGCCAAATGATACCATTTTGAAATTAAACTGACATATAATCAAAGCTTCCTTTAGCTTGGGAGTTCACTGAATAGTTACAAAATGGTGCCCCAAAACCATAGTACAAAATGTTATAATTCCCAGTTGCACTAGCTGTACAGATGTGTAGCGTGTATGGAATTTGTTTCAAGTATTGCCAGATGCATATACTTGGGAGTTAATAGACCAGTTACGGAAGGTGGTATTGATAACTTGTGTTTTTCTTGCAGAACTTACTTGGAGGAGGAACTAACGAAGGCCAGAAAGAAACCAAGTTTACGGAAGGATATGTATCAAAAAATGATCGAAGTAGATCCTGAGGCTCCAACTGAAGAGGAGAATGCTCAACATGCAGTAACCAAGCCCCGATACATGCAGTGGAGGGAAACCATAAGTTCCACAGCAACTCTAGGGTTCAGAATTGAAGGAATAAAGGTGGGCCTGCTGAAGCTTCCTTATGGAGAAAAAAGCACTGGGAATGACTGGGAAATCCCATTAGGACAGGTTTTGCAAGTGAATCTTAGACGTCCCCCCTCTATCCTCTGTATCTTTAGGTCAAAACCTGGTCTCTGGAAGTCCTAGTGAGCAGTCAGAAGGGAATCCACACTTTGGGGCTTTCCTCTCTGATGTTTTCCCTTGTGGCTGCAGAGACTACAAACACAGGAAATTGTTTTAAAGTCCCATACATGTGTACTTTCACAATGCAGTTGTTTGATCTCACATTATGAATTTATTTTTAAAATGAGATTTGCAAATTGTTGTCTAGCACAAATAGACAGTACTTGGGAAATTCTGAAGGTTTCCCCCCTTAAAATCACACATTTGCAGCAAGAACAGCAGGTGCGTGGAATCAGACCCTGCGTACATATATCCTGCTGAGCAGGGAAGCATGCATGAAAAGGGTGCTTGCATGGATAAATATATGCTGGCAATGCCGTGGATCTTGGGCTGGAGAAGATCTGTGCCTGAGATCTTGGAGGGTCAAGAAAATCAAAGTAGACAGTAGCTAGATGGATCAATAAGCTGATTCTGTATAAGGCCATGTTTTTAGCTCTCTTCTATTCTTGTGAGCGAGCGCTAAGAAAATGCATTGTGTTCAAAAACTGTTAAGACAGGAAAAAACTGGTTTCTCCCACCTTCTGTAGGCACTTAGAAAACCATCCGGTCCTTTCCTGTGGGTGTTTTGTTTAAACTAGGGTTATCTCCTATCTCTGCCCTAAGGTTGGCTACTTCACATCCTGTTTAATGAACTGCACAGCTGTATTAACACAAAAGTGTTCATCTCGGTGAAGGCTTTACTGTTTATTATTGGTTTTGAAAGAAAGAAGATGGCTCTGTGAACAGGGATTTTAAGAAGACCAGGACAAAAGAACAGGTCATGGAAGCCTTCAGAGAATTTACCAAAGGAAACTGTAATATTCTGGTGAGTCAGTATGTTTTGCCAGGTTTTTTTTTTTTTGTTCCAGGTTAAGTTAATATCATGATGGAGTTAAGTTAAGTTAAGCATGATGGAGTGAGCTCCCGTCTCTAGTTCCAGCTCCTGCCAACCTAGCAGTTCAAAAGCAAGAAATTGCAAGTAGATAAATAGGTACCACTTTGGTGGGAAGGTGACAGCGTTCCGTGCGCCTTGGTGTTTAGTCATGCCGGCCACATGACCACGGAAACGTCTTTGGACAGCGCTGGCTCTTTGGCTTTGAAACGGAAATGAGCACCGCAACTCTAGAGTCGGATTCGACTGGCTTTCGAGCAAGGGAACCTTTACCTTTACCTTTAAGTTAATATCCATGACCCTGGGCTAATGTGTCCTTTTTCTCCAAGAAGGTAAAGTAGTAAATTGAGAAACAGAGGCGACTCTTTGTGAATTCCAGAGTAGTAGCTCTATCTTTCTGAAGAATCCAGTAATCTGTGATTGTTTTAATGATCACATTGTTAGTTAAAAGTAAAGATGAAGTGGACTTTTGGCAGAAGGGGCTTAAACAGCAAGGTTGTTGTAGTGGCTGGAGACGAATGACATGCAAGGAGGGGGAATTCACAATTTTCAGGGTTGTTTATATTGGGGTATTTGGTCAATATAGCAGAGATTTGCCCCTGTCATAGAAGCGTGATACTAAGTGCAGTTAATAAATCTCCCAAGAAGTATATTGCAAAAAAGGTGAACATTTATTCAAGTAGATCCAGTTCACATTCAGGATGCAGTCGAAAGAAGAGAGAGAAGCCTACTCTAAAGAGTACTTTTCCCTATCACAAATGGCCAGCTTGTCCGGCATCATGTGTGTGTGGGGGTGTGAGGGCACTGTACCTACGGGAGAGACCTGCAGAGAGATGCATCTCCATGGAAGGCCATGTGCAGCGAGTGAGAGAGGAGGGGTTAGAGGACAGCTCCCAGGTTAAGACAGAGAGAAGCATCTCATTCAAGGAGATACCACCTATACACACCTATACAGTGATGTAGCACCCCCCAGTGTCCAGGCATGCTGAGCCGCTCCCTCCCAACAGTTTCTAGTTGTTCCAACTGCCTCATTGCCCGGTGAAACACGCACAAGCATCATTTTGCATTTACTCTGCCAGCTGGATAAAAGAGCTTAATTTTTAGACCCTACCATATATAGCCTCTAACTAATAGCGCTTTTCCTATTGCAGACTCTCTGAGGTGGTTTACAGTAGCTGGCAACTCATGGGAAGCTTATTATTGAGTTGATAAACAAAGTTGCTATGCTGTTTAGTGCCAGGTCCTCCTTATGTAAATAAATTGGCTTGAAGTCCGGTTCTTTCAGAAGAGTCTGAATGAATCAAAACACAGCTGAAGGGTTCTCTTAATCCTGACTCTCAGAGTCACGTGTGGCCAACCTGTGGCCCAGAGGCTGCCAGTGGGACTGCTGGAAAGGAGCTGGACGGTTTGTGAGGCTGCACGCCTGCTTGCCTCTCCAGTGCCATTTGGCTCCTGACTCAGTGGGGTCCAGGCAAAACCACCCCACGGGAGAGGAAGGAGGGTCTATGCCGTGTAGGGCACGCTAGAGTGGCATCTTGTCATTCTCCACACCTGTATCAGTTGTTGCTGCCTTAATCACTTCCCTTATGATGCAGCTCTTTGTAAATCATTAGCATTTGGGCGTGGGAGAATCCTGGAGTTCTGCTTGTCTAGTTTCTAATCCGAAAAGGGGGGTACTTGACAACTTGATCTGTTTTTCCATGACGTTCACAACTCTTTGTACCTGAGCTCTGTTAGGAGCTCTCAGCCTCATGCCTCAACTAGCAAGGCCGGTGTTTGTTCTATGGGGCACAGAAGGATTTTTAAAGGTGTTAAAATATTTTTTTCTTTCAACTTCAGAATAGTTACCTTAACCGGTTGAAGGGGATACGTGCCACTTTGGAAACATCACCATTCTTTAAGTGCCATGAGGTAAAAACTTCCGCCTTTCTGTGATCCCTGACATCTGTCCGTTTACCTGAACAAGTAGTTGATGGATTTGATGGTTGTCTGGATGAGCATGAAAAACTGACCAAGGTTCCCTTCTGTAATTCTGGCAACATAGACATTTTCCTTACCGCTCTCCACAGTGATGGAGCTTCTCATCCTTGGAGATCCAGAACATACCCCTTTTTTAGAGGTATTGGGAGGGGGCGGGCACGTGGTAGCCAGGATTCATTTTAACTGAGGGTTTAACATCTGCTTGTCCAGCTTCTAATCCAAATTGGGGACTGTTTCCTTCTTTTTTTGGGGGGAAGGGGGGGTTGATGCCAGGTTTCATCTTGTTCTTAACTGACAAGCATTTCTCTGTGTTTCTAATCCTCTGGTCTCAGTGACCTGGAGAGCTATACATTTTGCACTAAACCATAAACTTTCCACTGTCAAGCCACCTTTTTAGACAAACTCTTGACAACATGACTTTAAACCCAGCAGTATAACCACCCCAGTATTTTTGTATTGCCTTTTGCAGGTTATTGGGAGTTCCCTCCTCTTCATTCATGACAAGAGGGAACAAGCCAAAGTGTGGATGATAGATTTTGGGAAAACCACGCCACTTCCAGAAGGACAAGTCCTCCAGCACAGTGTGCCCTGGGTAGAAGGGAACAGGGAGGACGGCTACCTCTGGGGACTGGACAACCTCATTGAGATCCTAACAGAGCTGGCTCAGAGTGAAGACTTGCATTAAAGCCAAAAGTTCAACTCTACCACTACCCAGGACCCTGCCCGTCAAACTGACTTTCTGAACTGCACTACGAGACACTTTCCCCCCCACCTTCTCCTTTCCAGTCTTAAAGTTAGAAACGCTTCTATTCAAGGTGTAAATACATTAGTTCCATGCCAGAATGAATGCTGAACATGAAACTTTAACTTGGGGGATGGAAACAGATAGCAAATACTTACCCCTTCAGGTTTTGCATTTAGGGACTCCAGCAGGACTTGCATAACTTCCCCACAGTAGACTATCTGGCTCCTGTCCCACATGTATTTTAATACAGAAAGCCTTTTAATGTAAGGATTTATACAGCTCCCGTACTCCTCAGCTGAATGAAGATGGTGCCCTAATCACATCATAATTTTATCAAGCTACCAGGTCCATTTTGAAGGATAGATGCATTTGTAGTTATTTGCTGCCCTCATGTGTCCAAAGCTGGGATATTATTTGGACCACTGATGTTAAAGCAGTATCTTCAAATTGCATTTTATGTGTGGATCACAGGAGCTCTTTCTTTGTGAAAAGCTCCTAAATACATAAGACTTTTGAGTCCAGATCTTAAGAGGAAAAAATTCACGAGAAAGGCAGATAGTGTTGCTGAATGCCAGCAATGTACTATTGTATTTACTAACCTCCTTAAACCTAGAAAGCTGGCTGTAAGAACCTTTAGAAATAATGTCAGGTCAGTATATATTCAGACGTTTCTAGTCAGCTTGTAACTATTAGACAGTATTTGCGTGACTGTGTGGATTGTAAAGCTGCTTCCATGGTTCACATTTAACTTGGTGCATCCATGTAATTGCTGAGGTGGATTTGGCTGGGGGGGGGCAAGATCTTGTGCTCTAAACTTCCATTGCTTGGGAGCAGTCTAGGAGTGTGTCGGTGGAGAGGGCTGATGTGGAGCGGGGAGGGCTGTATCCATCGTCATTTAGATACCTCTGTTAGCATGGCACGCTTTTGAAGGAACTGTCGGCCATTTCTCAGGTGCCCTTTTGCAAAAACATTCCAGTTTTTTACATCTCCGAGTGGTGTTAACTAGTCCTAAAAAAGAGCACTCATCTTTGCAAGCAGAATTCTAGAATGATGAAATATACATACCTTTCATACATCTGAAAGAAACATGGAAGGGAAAGGAGCTGTGATCTCCTTTGGTAATGCGGCACTGATTTAAGGCTCTCCTTTCAGTTCCACGAATGTAACTGTAATCTGTCTGTTTGGCTTTTTCATGGCCCAGCCAGGCGTGTCTTTCCCCAACATTCCTAGATTGTTTCAAACATCAGGCACGCACGGCCCCAGTTTGGATTAGGACTGTGCGACAAGGTGAGAGAGAGGCCTTAAGCCTTTCGCGGGGAACTGCCGTTTCCACGCACCAGTTTCCCTAACAAGGCAAGTTCCTCTAGCAACTCTCCAAGGCCATGTCAGGTCAGGAAAATGGCATGGGGGGTGTTAACCCCCACCCTCACCTCGTGCCGCAGTCCCAATACAAACTAGGCCCACGTGTGCCTGATAATTATGTGTTTAATGCTGCGGGAAGCTTACTGAAATGGGCACATCTGATTTGGCCCTAAGTTTGGCCACACACATGAATGACATCTATGCCGCTTGTAGTCTTGTAAAAACATTTGCCTCTTTAGCTGAGGATGGAAGCTATTTTATAACTTCCTGGAACATTTGAACTAAGCAGATTACTTGCATCAGAACCGGCTTGCTAAAAGGTCAACAGCCGACAGAACCGTAGAGAAGGGAGAGGCTCCTGATGTATTTGAATTTCTCTAGGAAAGTGAGCACTGCAGAAACCCTGCAGGGGAGCGGGCTGTGGTGAGCTTAGCCTACAAATCATCCTGAACTGGTCTTCTTACTGGCTCCAGTTCTGACAGCTTTAAACTTTTTGTCAGTTCATGATACCTACCATATACCTCTAAAACATGCTGTTACTAATCTTCCTAGCAGTGATGCTGTCCTTGCAACGGGATGGCCATAGCTTCTGCCCTTGCAGCAAGAGTCTTTTTTGCCGGGGGTGGGTGGGAGATGTCATTGGCCCCTAGCGGGCATGCAGTCCCTGCTCAAGCCCTGCACAGAGACTCAGCCCTCCTGGGAGTTCCTCTGTTCGTATCTTGCTGAGCACATGTCTGTTATTCTTCAGTGCTGTTGTAAATAGCTGCTCCGTTCAGCTGCTTTTCCCCTTCAGGCTTCCTATGCTGTTTAATAATAGCCTCTGTGGAAGTGCCTTATGGACTAGTCTCGGTTCCATTAGTGTCATGGAAAAGTGTGTTTTTTTTAAGTTCTATTTATTGTCATTCTTTTTTTAAGTTGCATAGAACACTAAGTCTTAATGCATGGAAGTTTTTTTTTTTTGTAAGTTTCGTTTAAAAAACATTTTTGCTACCTTTGCGGAAGGGGAAAAGTCCTTGAAGCGGCAGACGTGTATATCATTTTAAAACTGTATTTAGCTTTTAAATGGCTTCTATTATACGCTTTTAAAAAAATGTTAAGCCTGTTTGTAAAACAAGATTCCTTGCTTTGTTGCTTTAAAAGAAGTGAACTATTTCTCCAGATGTCTTTCGACCTTCCTGGAGGCTGGAACTGTTGCTGTGAGGTAGTTTCTCCCTTCCCAATTTCTCCCTGATTAGCAATGACACAAAGAACTTGCGGAATTATAAAACACCACCGACGCACAGTGCCTGTAAGTCAAATAACTCAAAATAAAGGCATACAAAAGGGTTGCTTGTGTGATGTGCTGTCATTGTCCATTTGCATTCCTGTCACTTAGAGCTACCTGGGAAACCAGATAACCTGATAAAATGAAATTGGTCTATATGGGGAGAGAGGGACATGAAAGCACAGCAGATAGAAATCACATTAAAAGACTGGAACTATATTTTGGGGAGGCAGGGTGGCCAAAATTTTAAGGGCAGCTTCGCAGGTTACAAATTCCACATGGCTCCCATTGATGAAGGGGTGCTTTGGGAGTTCCATGCTTAGAATTTGATTCCCAGGTGCAGGCAGAAGCTAGGCCTGTGGGTAGTGGGGACCTGGGCCTTCCCTCTGTGCCCTTTTCCTGACCCAAAACAGCCCCAGGGAGAAACGTAGATGTTACCGATGCTCCCTCTGTGGAGTCTTGTGAGCAAAAATTTTACTTTGTGTGCTACTGGCATTAAAGTTGTGAGCAAGCGATTTGGCTGTTGCATAAATTAGTTTGCTCAGGGGACATTCTTCCTGAGCTAAGACAAAAACATTTGAGCCGGAGGCTAAAAAACTGAGCTAGCTCAGCTTAGAGGGAACACTGGATGTTACACACACACACCATGTAAATAGCTGCTCCCTGGGACCATCCCAGTTTGGGAGAATGATGCATGATGGAAATCTTAACCCCCTCTCCTGAACTGAATAGGGCCTGTGTACTCCTGGGGATTAAATTCCAAGCACAGAACTCTAGACACAAGTCTGAGAGAACTGGGGTGCACACATAGGATAACAAGGACTTTTTATAGTGTGTGAACTAGTCTTAATTGTTTCATTTCACATAGGTTACAATTTAGGGATATTTTATATTATAATACAAGTTATGGAATATGATAATACATAATGTGAATATATTATTACATTTAGTAATAACAAATAATTTTGACTAGCAGCCAGTCAACTCCCTTTCTTTGGTCTTCAAGAAATGTGCAAGCTGTCACTCTCACAAGTTAACACATCTGCTTACAAGAGGAAATGAAGCAATATCCCTTGTTTCGTCATGACAGAGAATGGGAAAGTGTGAGTTGCTGGTTCCATATTCTGACTTTCATCTTCCTTGCATATCATGGCTTCCAAAATTACTTGTAAGTTAAGGACACTCTTAAAGCATGCCATCCCATATCTAATACCTACTGGACCTGGAAGATGTGTATTGTTGTCAGGTTTCCCTCTTACCAGGGAGGGAGCGTGAGCCCTTGGGTGGCAGAGGCCAGAATGACCTTTCTTTGAGCCTGGTGTTTTTACTTTAGCCCGCTGCTTGATTTCTGATATCAGAAGTACCATGGCACAACCTCATACTGAGATCTCTTACTGACCTAAAACTCCTAGAAGGTTTGTGGTTATTCAGCGATAAGGCAACGGCATTCTGTAGATCTGGCCAAAAACTCCACCATGGGAGCCTTTGGGCTGAGGCAGTAGGAAGTGCCGTTAAGTTGTAGCTGACCCTGTAGGGTTTTCAAGGCAAGTGGCATTCGGAGGTAGTTTGCCATTGCCTGCCTCTGCGTCACGACCCTGGTATTCCTTGGAGCTCCCCCATCCAAATACTAGCCAGGGTCAACCCTGCTTAGCTTCCGAGATCGGACAAGACCAGGCTAACCTGGGCCATCCGAGTCAGGGTGAGAGGGTAGGTGAATATAAATTAAAACAAATCAATGACATCATGCCTTTATCATTACTTCAGTATGCCCATGGCTGCCCGGTGTGTGGATCCTACCACTCCACTAAGAAACTTTCTCTTCTTATATAAATTATTCTTCTGTTGGAAGAAGAGCTGTTTAAGTTAGAGGAAGGCTCCTTGGAAGATGGATGGATCCATCCTGTTGGCAATGGGGAAAGGGTTCTGTGAGTAAAGCAATAGTTTTGATTCAGCTCAGCCAAAACTGCTAGGACAATAACTTCAGTAGGGTGAACATCAGAACAGACTTTCCCAGATTAGTCCGAAGTTAATCCAGTCCAGCATTCCAGCTCCAAGAGCAAGGATCCAGATACCTCTGGGGGCTCATAAAGTATGGCACGGAGGCAACAGCCATCCCTTTTTGTTTGTTCCCAGCACCTGCCCTTCGCAGGTATATTACCACTAGTCATCATGATACCATTCAGTTAATAACAGTTAAGAGCCAGAGAGCTGTGGTCTCGGATAACTGGTGTGTGAACTGTCAAGTAAGCCCCGGTTGAATTCTGCGAGCCAAAACAGACCCAGGCTGAGGACCCATTCTGATTCCAGGTGCCTTCTACCTGCCCGAAGAGCGAAATCAGCATTTTGGTTTGATGAGGAATTTCTGGCTATGAGCTGAGTGGGTGAACAACCAGAAAACATGGAGAAATGCATTTGGCTATGTCTCTGTTTAGCTGTTTCCTTTCTTGTCTCGTTGATTTTAGATGGAGGGGATTGCTCACTGGAGTCCTGGTTAGGGTTGCCAACTCTGGCTTGGGAAATTCCTGGAGATTTGGGGTGATGCCTGTGGAGGGCAGTTTTAGGAAGGGGAGGAGCTCAGTGAAGATGTGATGCCTGCAGCCTTGAAAGCTGCTGTTTTCTCTGTAGATCAGTTGCAATTCCAGGAGAGCTCCAGGCCCCACATGGAAGTTGGTGATCCTAGTTCCTGGTAGTGAATGGGAGGAAATAGTTCTGGCCCCCTTGAGGTGGGCAGTTACAAAGCTCTTGAAGAAGCTCTCCTTGGGCCTGGTCAATTTTAACAACTCTTGGCCTGTGGCAAATAAGCCTTTCTCGAGCGAGGTGCTTGGACCAATGGTAGCTGTGTTGCTTCAGACTTTCTCGGAAGAGAGATTGTCTGGATTCTTTTCAGTATGGCTTCAGGCTTGGTTTGGGGACAGGAACTGACAGACCCCATTCACCTGGATAGAGATGGTTGGAATGCAATCCTCATCATTCTCCTGATGCTATAATCTGATTCAGTGAAATAAGAGACCAGGCAGGTGTTTGATTTGCCACTTCCGCGTACTCAGAAGAGAGCTGTGGTTCCTGTCTTGCCATATGCAGTGATTGCCTCTATATTTCCTCAGTGGGGCTGGAGGCTAAACTGTGCAGGTGAGCAGCAGAAAACTTTCAGCTTTGACTGAGCCACGCCTGCCTGGCTTCCGTTGTTTTACAAAGAGCACCAGCCCTGGTAGCCCAGGCCAGCCCGATCTCATCAGATCTCAGAAGCCGAGCAGGACTGGCCCTGGTTCGTATTTGGATGGGCAGCCTCCAAGGAACACCAGGGATGTTACGCAGAGGCAGACAGTGGCAAAAACCACCTCTGAAACAAGCCTACCTTGCCACCTAGTGGGGCATAATGCTAAAAGAGCTAGAACTTCTGACAGCTAGACAGTCTTAGGATCTCTTGGCTATACTACACACAATGCCTTATTTATTAATTATTAACTACCAAGAGCACTTAGATCAAGATGGGTAGCCGTGTTAGTTTGTCTGTAGCAGTAGAAAAGGAGCTGCGGTGGCTCAAGTGGTTAAGACGCTGAACTGCAGGCTGTGGAAGGTCGGTAGTTCAGCAGTTCGAGACCTGAGTGTGCCACATGACGGAGTGAGCTCCCATCTCTAGTTCCAGCTCCTGCCAACCTAGCAGTTCGAAAGCAAGAAATTGCAAGTAGATAAACAGGTACCACTTCGGTGGGAAGGTAACAGCATTCCATGCGCCTTGGTGTTTAGGCATGCCGGCCACATGACCACAGAAACATCTTCGGACAGCGCTGGCTCTTCGGCTTTGAAACGGAGATGAGCACCGCAACCCTAGAGTCGGACTCGACTGGCTTTCGCGCAAGGGAACCTTTACCTTTACCTTTAGCAGTAGAAAAGAGCAAGAGTCCAGTAGCACCTTAAAGACTAAGAAATTTGTGGCAGGGCAGGAGCTTTCATGAGTCACTACTCACTTCTTCAGATACCACTTAGCTGAAGAGGAATGAATCAGGCCCTCCACAAGAAAGTAAGGCATGTTTATACATATAAATGCACACACACACTTAGAGTTACTTCACAAATTTGATAACTGGCAGCTGACTCTCTGAACCTTCTCAAAAAGTGTTGTTTTTCTAAGGTGGGATGGAACTTTTGCCTTTGATGGCATTTTATACACTCGGGTCATCACAATGTTGGAGTCATCTAGTAACAAGCATACACCCGTGAACCGAGCCTCCAGAACAGCAACATCCAAATGATGGATTACAGTTCAGCCATCCCAGACAAAGTGTTTCATGTCTCTTCTCATAATTTAAAGTTTTTCAAAGGAAGCCGTTCTCCTGTTCAGATGAGATTCCCCGAGGGATGTTAGAGTGATATGTGTGAGTCAGATCCTACTGAAAAGCTCTTGGAGAACACTGAAAGATGAAAAAGTGGTTTAACAGTACTAAGCACTCTGGAAAGAGCAAGGGAAGGTTATGAGGAAATGTATTACACAAATTATTACTGAAAAGAGAACAAGCTGTGTCCCCTCTAGTACAAGGCTTTCATTGGATGTTCCAGTGGTGGGAGTGGGGGAGCTGGAGAAAAGAATAAAAAATAAATAAAATATGAAATTGGATTCATATGTCATTTAAAAAGATTTTTATAGTATTAGAATGAAAGGCATATATATACAAGAGGGAC